GGGAACGGGTGGGAACTGTTTAGCACAATAAACGAACCCGTATCGTTTATTCACCATAATAACAATTAAATAAAATACCTACTCATCAAAGTTTTGGGACTATATATTGCTATTATATACTTATAACATAATATAGTTACGAGTGTTGAGCGCATTTGATCATTTTGCCGTGGCTCGTAAATGTCGAAATCAGTATTTGTTATATGTGCAGCAGAGTAATAGGTATCTTTACGTGTGTTAATAACWTATTAATTTTMATTTMATTTAATTTTTCTTTTTAAAATCTAAATATTATTATAAATAATTGGTATACATTAACGATTAGTTGGATTTTGTAGGTACCCGCTGGCTGCTTTTTATCAAGTAATAGTTCACGTTTTGTCAAATATTGAACATGCGTATCGTATTGGTGATGRCAATAATGTCACGCTTTTATTGTCGACTTCCGATGTTCGTGAAATGTTTTTCACAACTATAGTCTGTAGTATAGTGTGTTTATGGGAAGGATTTTGTCCATTGTTAGATGGCACTCTCAGCTGCGTAATTCCTATAAAATAATAATTTTATAAAATATTAAAAAAATTTWCTTTTTCCATATTAATAATAATAATTATGATCACATTATTTTTATTCTATATTGATAAATTGATTATAATTTTCATATTACCTAATCAAACCATAATAACATTATGAAAGTCACTCGATTTTTACATTGCATTTCATCACTATAACCTCTATCGGCTCTATCCATATTAAAATCGGAAATTTTTATACTGCCAATAATTAGTGTGAYTTTTTTTGTTTGGAACATTCAAGAACCATGGAGGCCTGACATATCTGCTTAATATAATGTTTACAACAACTGTGTGAGTCTTAGCTAGGTCCTGTTTTTTTTCATGTTAGGAGGAACCTGTGGCTATTATTCAAGTTACTCCGGTCATGAGCTTGTGCCAATGTATATCCATATGACATCATATGTATCTTTGTTCAGGCATTAACGTGGAATTTACACGACTGTATCAACTATAAAACAATATATATTTTTTAGTTATACCTACTTACAGTTATACGTTTAATGTGACCACACTGGTGTGGGCCTTGATTCTATTAAGCAGTTGATTCCATAAAATTTTTTTTTTCATAAGATTCTATATTTTTATGTAAACTTTAAATAAAATTAAAAAGCAGCATTTAAAATAATGAAAAGAAACTATCGATTTTATTTTAGATATGAAAAATGTAATTTTATATCCATAATAAACTGAAACTAAACCCATAGGTATATGTAATTTACGTTTCTGTTTAAGGGAAAGAGACAAATTGTTCTCTCCATTTACACGAATTTTCTTAAGATTTTTAAAATGTTTTCAAAATGAACGCGGCACCTCTTTGCAAACATTTTTGTTTTCAAATTAGAAAAATAGAAAAAAAATTTTTCGTTTTATAGATAAATCTTTCAGTTTGTTTGATATGTAAAAAAGAAAAAAAATGTTTGAACAGGAACCATAAACATTTTCATGCTAAGTGATGGAATACAAAAATACTGATAAGTTTTAAAAATAGAATTTTATTGTACGGGTTCACACCGCRCGTTTCCGCTACCACCGCTCACAACCATATACCAAACTTCTTGCACCGCGATCGTCGTCATACTACAATATTATAACTATATACCATATGCATATATATTTGTGCATTTGAGACCGGRCGACGTCATCATAGGTATCGTAACAGYGACTGACAATAATAATAACAATAAAATGGAACACTGCAGCRGTGATGACGTGTGCTGCACTCGGAACGCGAAAAACTTCGACTACTCTTCAGAACACACACGCGTACCTGATAATTCAATATCATGTTATAAACACCATTGTCGACGAGAGTGAAAGGATGAGCGCGGCGGCGTCGGGTCATCGGACGGCCTACTTTCTCCGGTCCACGTGGATCGCTTCGCTCGGCCTACACGCACGGTCACGGGTAGGCGCGGATGCTAACCTGTGATACCTAACCTGTGTAGGTATAACCCGAACGGTCGTACGATGTGACGGACGTATTATTATAATATTCGACACGCCGACCACCAGTTGGTGAGCGCACTACARCCATATCATAATAATATATTACGTTCGTCGAAGGCGGSCCGACATTTCGAATTTTCCGCGCCGCTACGGTCTCCGCGTGGCCGCGGTGGTTGGTCGCCGCACGATGAGGCTCCGATGGTTTTCCATGCCGCTGTTCGTCGGCTTCATGCTGTTCCTGTGCGTCGTCCTGTTGGCCGTCAACTTTTTCGAACTCAACTGGATCCAGTACGAGCACAACAAGTTCCATCACGGACAGGAGCCGTACGCCGGGCCGCCGCCGCCGTCTCAAAGGCACGCGGACGCCGCGAAAAGGCCGTCGTACATCGTACTGGCGAAACGCGTGAGACATTTCGCATACTCACATATTATTATGCTTAGC